TTTTTTGAGATGGAGTCTAGCTCTGATGCCCAGGCTGGAGTACAGTGGCATGATCTCAGCTCACTGCAACCTCTGCCTCGCAGGTTTAAGTGACTTTCCTGCCTCAGCCTCCCAAGTAGCTGGGATTACAGGCTCCCACCTCAATACCTGGCTAATTTTTATTTTATTTTTAGTAGAGATGGGGTTTTGCCTATTGGCCAGGCTGGTCTCAAAATGCTGACCTCAGGTGATCTGCCTGCCTTGACCTCCCAAAGTCCTGGGATTACAGGTGTTGAGTCACCGTGCTCAACAACCTTCTATCAATTCCCTCTGCAGCCATGAGTCCTTATATAATCCAGACATTCCCTTCTATGGATTCTAGGTCTTTAGACAAAACTTTAAACCAATTGTCATCAGAAAATCTTTGAATCTACCTATGACCTGGAAGCCACCCTCCCGCCCAGTAGTCCCACCTTTCCAGATGGAACCAATGTACATCTTATATGTACTGATAGACGTCTTTTGTCTCCCTAAATCGTATAAAACAAGCTGTAGCCCAACCACCTTGGGCACAAGTTCTCAGGATTTCCCAAGAGCTGTATCACAGGCAATTGGTCACTCATATTTGGCTCAGAATAAATCTCTCCAAGTATTCTAGCATTTGACTCTTTTCATCACAGGTGAAAAATAAAATACTGTTTCTTTTTTACATATGTGGTGTCACCCCAAAGTTCATTGGATTCCCCGACACTTTACATAGGTTTTATTTATTCTGAGGGAGGAGCTTGACCGGACTGACATTATTTACTAGCCGAAAGGCACATTTACCTGCGTTGAACTCGGGATTGTCTTCCAGGGTGACCACAGCTCCCTCCACAGCGTCCACGGCGCTCCCGCCCTCCCGGAGGATGCAGTAGCCCACGGTGGCGGCTCTGACGATGCCCTGGCGCAATCTCTCCTTCACATCCTCGGAGACGGGGCCAGCTCCGCCGTGGACCACCAAGACGGGATTCATGTCGGCGGATCCTAGGCAGCAGGAAAACGAAAGCGTCGTCCAAAGCCAGCCCGAGGAAGCCGCGGGGACACAAGGTCCTGGGGAGATCTCGCTGGGACAGCGCCCAGTCTCTATTTAGGGAGGTCGGGTTGACAGCGGTAGGTGGGAAGGGGCGGCTCGGTCGAGCTTGGTACAAAGAGCCCAGGGGGCCCCGCGCTCTCCCGCGTTCCTCTCCGCCCCGGCCCGGACCTGCTGGGGCCTCAGTTTCCCCGGGGACGTTGCCCCGCGCCCACCGCCGCCCGCTCCAAGCCCCGACACAGAGGGAGGATATATATTTCGCCTTCCGGAAAATGTCTATTTTCCTTCGTCCTCCCCAGTCTCGCAAGGCTGCTCCGGGAGGACCGCGGGCTTACTGAGGGCACCGCGGGAGGCGGACGCCGAAGTCTCTGGGTGGGTCTAGCGCTCCCCGCAGCCGGCCAGTCCCGCGGCTCAGCGGAGCCGGCTGAAAACTGCTCAGCCGGCATCTGCTCCCTCCGCCACCGCTATGCGCCTGCGCACGAGGGCGGGGCCGCCGCACCGCCCGACTCCCGGAAAGCCCCGACGCCCGGAAAGCCCCGACGCCCGGTCAGAGCGCACCAGTCTCACCGCTCTCGGGAGTCTCGGCTTCTGGCCCGTGTGAGCTTCCTAGTGGCATGATGGGACCTTCTTCCTCCTGACGAGACTGGGAGCTGGGTGGTTGGATTGGTGGTGAGAAGCGTCAAGTGGCGTCCCACGGTTTTGTAATTGCAAATTGAAAAGCAACGCTGGGCCGGCGCAGTGGCTCACACCTGTAATCCCAGCACTTTGGGAGGCCGAGGCAGGCGGATCACCTGAGGTCAGGAGTTCGAGACCAGCCTGACCAACACGGAGAAGACTGCCTCTTCTGTTGGAAATGAGAGTTCGGAGTCACAAAGGAAATGAGCACTGGAACAAAAGATCTCTCAGCAAAGCAAATTTACCTCTGCCGAAGGGTGCTGCTGCTCGCACCTGGGGTGGTCACAAGAGCACAAGAAAAAAAGGAAGAACAGGGGTTTTTATTCTTAACTGCAGTTTGTCCCTGTTACTGTGTCCTGTCTCCATTGGCTGGAGTTGGACTGCGCAATCTAAACTAAACCCGATTGGCTAATTTGAAGAGTGCAGGGGCGTGGGCTACAATGGTAGGAAGGGTAGTTTTAGACAGGAAGAGTCCTTACCGCGGGAGTGGTAGTTTACAGAACGGCAACAGATGTGGGTTGCAGATTTGGGCCATAGTGAAAGTTGCTTACTGGAACCAGGGGAAGGGAGGCACAAAGAAGAAGGAAGTTTGGCCTTGAAAGTAGAGAACAAAGAATAAAGAAACTAAGCAAGCCAAACTTTTGAAGACGAACTTCTTTTTGTATATGTCGATTAAACCCTTTTAATTTTTATAATTCCTCTTCTTTAAACCTTTTTAACATGTCTTGACTTTGTTGTTCTGTTTGGTCTTCTAAAAGAAAATGCTCATTAATAGGGAGAAGGGTAATTGAGGGAGTTTTTGGTGAGAGCTGTTTCCATAAATCTTTGTATTAATCCTTGGGCACAGGGTATGATACAGCATCCTATGAGAATAAGTACACCTATGACAATTGTGAGAAAGTTAACATTGAGGACATGAGCCCTTTCCATTTACTGAATCACCTTTCCATAAAACTTGTGAAGGGATCATTTATTCTGGAATTTTTGGCTAGTTCATTTGATAAGAAGGTGAGGTTTGTAAATCTTTGGTAATTGTTGAATCAGGGACTGTGTTGTTAGGGACAAATGTACAGCATTGGATTCCAATCATGACACAGACTGCAGCTTTTTCTGCTAACATCATGTCAAGGGCTATTCTATTTTTCCAGGTTATTTGGCTGGTGGGGCCTAATTGTTCAGCTATCCCCTTCATAGCATCTCTAGTGTAATTGACAAATGGCTGTTTATAGTTTATCCAATCTACATTTTTACTTACAGTTGACCACCAGAATCGTGCAGATTTGAATCCTGTAGCTATTTGATTTCGAGTCTTAAATTTATCCGGTACTCCTAGTGGGATTCCAATAGCATCTATATAAATGTGAGGGTCAAAAGATCCGGGTGGAGCGCTTCTGTTCACCCAGTTTTGACATTCTTGCCTGCTGTGTTAGCGGAATGCCAGGGTGATAGGGATGGCCAATTGGACTAGAGCGAAAGTGCCGCTCCAGTTACTTAGCAGATAACTCAATAGTAGCTTTCCGCAATATCACCATACCTCTGCTCGGGTGTGAACAACAGCAGCTTGACTGGTAAGCTCCTGAAAGGCTTGGTTTCACTACACCTTTTTAGATCTCCGAGACGTTAACCTCTCCCCCTGTCATGAGAGACACAGATAAAATTAACATCCAAGGCTGGCAGCTGGATGACTCTCAGGGGCTGACCCAAAGAGCCTTTAACTTCAGGGAATAGCAGTGAGAGTCTTGCACACCTTACTGCTTCAGGCTGTGGGGTTTTGAAAGAGACTTACCATGCAGCTCATGCCCAGTCGGTCAGAAGACCATCCAAGTGGGAAAGGGACTATTTGAGCCTCTGGCCTGCCTGCCACACAAGCGTAACCGTCACTTTTGGTTATCGTGGGAACAGAATATTTAATCCATTCCAACCAGGCATTTGCATCTTGGTATCTTGTCTAAACTACTAAAGTTTGTTTTAAACTTTAACTTCTGCAATGTCTACTATGGCTTTGTAATTGGAGAGAGTAACAGTTTGATTGAAAGAAGATACTGAAGGAGAAGGGAGGGAAGCGGGTGGAGGAACAATGAAGTGCATCTCAAAAGATCCTATTGGGTCTACCCCTCCCACATCAGCTCCTAAGCTGTAGAAGCCACCTGGAGTGGGGTTACTGTCAGTAGGGGTGGGGACAATGATAGAGATTTGCAAAGGATTACCATTGTTGAAGTTGGCAATAGGAGGGAGTTATTCCTCTGTAAAGTGGATGTAAGGTTTTGGGTCAATGCAGCTTCCTCCTGGGGAGGTCCAGCCTTGTTACTTGGTGGTCCAGATTACATCTCCCCAACCATAACAGAATTTCCACTGACTGCTTTGTGCTTTGCTGGTACAAGTGTCACTATTACAGGCAGTCTTGTTTATCTTAGAGGGGCAGAGGTACTTTTCGGAAGGGGCTAGCTTTCTTTGGTTTTGGAGATCTCCACAGGGCATAACAAGACAAGCATCAAAAGCGATAATTTGAGGTAGGCTTGAACTAGTTACGTTACATGAATGACAAGCTGGCTAGCCACAGTGAAGAAAGGCTATAAAATAATATAGTAGGTATGGGAGGGTTAGGTGTTTTTTTTGTTTTGTTTTGTTTTGTTTTAGCTTTAATCTGGTAGGACTTTCCCCTGGAATGATGGTCCATGACTCTGTAGGTAGTAATGTCTTCTTGGCCCGGGTATGATGAGTCTATCCTTTTTTTGCTGTTTGGACTGCAGCTCAGTGGTTAGGAGCACTAAGTAGGGTCCTTCCCAAGTTGGTTTGAGCTTTCCTCTTTCCAGCCTTTGATGAGAATGTGATCTCCGGCTGATGCTGATGTGCTGGGAGCTCCAGGGGTGGCGCCTATGCTAGGAGGCCTTTAGTTTTAAAAGAAAGTGGAAGATAGAGCAAGTATATCGTTTTTGAGGAACTGGTCTTTTGTTTCAAATGTGGGAATGTCAGCAGTGGAATGTAAATAAGGCAATCCATGTAGAGTTTCCTAAGGGGATAAATCAGCATCTTTCCAAGGGGCAGTTCTAATTCTCAACACAGCAATAGGAAGGCATTTAGTCCACGGCAACCAAGCCTCTAAGACTAATTTGATAAAGTGACTTTGTAGGGTTTGATTCATTCTGTTTACTCTTCCCGATGAGGGTGGGTGCCAGGGAGTATGGTATTCACATGTCATGTCTAGTACTTGGGATAGTTTTTTAATGATATGTGCAGTGATATGGATTCCATTATCTGAATCAATATTTTTTATTAGTGCAAACCTTGGTACAGTATTTTCAATAAGTGCCTTCACCACATTATTAGCAGTCGCATTTGAAAAGGAAATAGCTTCTACCCAGTGAGTGAGGTGATCTACTATCACTAATAGGGATTTTAGGCAACTGATTAAAGGCATCTCCAGGTAATAAATTTGGACACTTTGGAACAGTCGTAGTCCTGGACTTTTTCCCCCAAAGGGTGATTTTTTTAGAGTTTGCTTATTAGAGCCCCAAAGAGGTGATTCTAACCACAGTGGCACTGGGTGATCTAGGAGGAGGAGGCTTGGGGTGGGGAATGCCAGAGATGGGGAGAGGAGGGACTGGGTAGGGAGGGTCTGAGTCAGAAATGAAGGAGGCGTGTGAGAGAGACTGAGGAAGAAGGAATGGGGGTGGGAGGGAGGAGGAGAAGAAGAAAAGAAAGAAGCAACTAACATTTTCTTACTTTCTTTCTTTCTTTTCAAGAGAGAGTCTCACTCTGTTGCCAAGGTTGGAGTACAGTGGC